CCTTCTTATAGGTGTTAACCTGCTTACGGGTCTCGGCCAGAGGTCCGACCACTACAGATGTGTCAAGAAAGGGGGGACCTGCAACTTCTCCCCCTGCCCGCTCTTCAACAGGATTGAAGGCACCTGTTACGGCGGAAAAGCCAAGTGCTGCATCCGTTGACTTTGGGCTGGAGCGTGGGCAGAGGAGACCCAGAAGCCAAGTGAAACCCTTGTAACTGTTGTTTGAATAAAAGAAGGTTTTTTCAAAGCATGCGCGTCCTTCAGACCAAAGTGAGTCTTGTGTCTCCTTTGAGAAGAGGTTCAGAAAGTATGAAGGGCAGAAGGGCAGACAGGCTGGGCCACAAAGCCTGTCCAGGATGGGACTGGGGGATGCTGACTAGGCTGTGACCTGTTTCACTGCCACTTTGTTTCATCACCAGATCTACACATGAGGGATGCAGGGGGTCCACGTGAGACTAAGGACACCTGATGACGAGATGACACAGCTTCAGGCCTCCCTCTGTCCCAGCAGAAGTTCACCCCTGATTCAGTGGCCTCAGCTGCCTGCCCATCTGCAGAGGCCAGAACCGCTGCCCCTTCTCCCTGGGCCGGGGGCAGTGGGTTGTGGGTTGGTTAACCTCAGCATTTGAGAACCTTCGCTGGGACCATAAAGCTATTCCTATTTCACTCTGTAGGCCTAATAGTAGGGTTCCCGGGTGCCCATTCTTCACTCCAGCACAATCACGTGGTCTATTTACATGTCACTTAGAAAAGCATCCTCTATGACCACTGCCCCTGCCTTTCATCATTTCTGCACCATTAGGCCTGTAGACACCCACTGATGGGGAAGAGAGAGCTGCCTTCCCTTTTTTCCAATAAATTTCTTACAACTCCTGATGATACGTGTGCTTCTGTCCTCTCCTTCAACAGGCAACAGCAATTCCACATTCCACTTCGATAAACTGCAAGCACAAATAAAAATCAAACATTATAAAAACTTTGGGGGAATTCCCTGGCGGTCCAGTGGTTAGGACTCCTCGCTTTCACTGCCCTGGGCCCAGGTTCAATCCCTGGTTAAGGAACTAAGATCCTGCAAGCCACGCGGCACAGTCCCTCCCCCGCCAAAAAAACTGCCCCCATCCCCCAGTGATGGATTTGGACACCACACCCCTCTTTTGTGAGGGAAAGGCAGAGGAGATGCCATTATGCTGTGCACATTAACCGCTACTCGGGTGTTCTCTGTAACAGGAACACGGCAAGTGTTCATTACAGTGCGTCCAGGCCTCCCCCTACTCCTGAAAAGCTAAGAAATAATCTGTTGACTTAAAAAAATATTCACAACCTAAAAGTTGAGAGTTATGTTTTATTTGGTGGGAAAGTTTAGGACTTCAAGCCCGGGAGGCAGCATCTCAAGTAACCCTGAGAGAACTTCTCCCAGGAAGCGAGGGGGGAGCCAGGTTATACAGAAGTTTTGCAACAAAGGGAAGGTAGTCAGGAACGTCAAAAGATTATTGTTAATTAAAGAAAACCAGATATCCCGAGTTAAGGAATTTAACTTAGCGCTTTTCTATGTATGGGAAGATGCAAGAGTCTGGGCTCACTGAAATCATTCCTGTTACATGCACCTCAGCTATCTGGGGCCAGTATCCTGTGTGTTCCCATCCTGAGTTTCCTCAGGGCTCATGGTAGGGAGTGGCAGCAGTCTGATGGCGGCTAGATGGCAGGCATTCTTTCCTTCCTGAGTTCCCTCAGGGCTCAGCAGCTCACCGTTGGCTGTGTTGGCTGTGGTTGCAATCGCTGACGACTGTGACATCCTTTGTTTACTGATATGGCAGGCAATATTCCACTTATCCCCAGCCACAAAGAGGTCACTGACCATCTCGGGAAGGTGGTGGCATCACATCAATAGCCCTGTCACCAGAGACTACAGGCTCTGACCAGAACGACTAGCAAGGTTCTTACAGCCCTTCCCAGCCCAGCAGCATTTGGCCCCAGGACTTACATCCCTCAGGGGGTAGCAAGTTTTAAAGGAGATGCCCCTCCTTTCCGCCTTCTCTCCTCCACCCAAATATCCTTGGAGCTTTTGCATTCGCCTACACCTGTGTGCCCAGGGTCACCCTCCTTTGGTGAAACTGGAATGCAAAAGATATTGCCTGAACCAGCCTAGAGGGAAGATGGCTTTGAAGTTAAGGGGGAGCGGTACGTGGGGCTGTCTACAAGGCACTTCACTCCCGAATGACTCAAAGGCCCAATTTCATGGTTCCTATTATAGCATCTGTCTAGATGAAGTGAAAGTATGGATTTGAGTAAGCTGTACATACAGACCCAGATCCAACCCTTTATTACCGTGGCTGTCATTAAAGAATTGCTGAATCACGTACCTTCACAGTCATTAAACACACTGACAACTCTGAGTGGGAAAAGTGTCCACTGGGGGAGATCGGTGCTGCCTGGATGCTGTTTTAAGGACTCCCTCCCCTCTTAATTACTGTTGCCTTTTAGGGTGCTATGGTGGATGGAAGCCTAGTTTACATTAGTGAGTGAGTCTGCACTTTCCTATCATGAGCGATACGCTGGGTACTCCGGTCAAGGGTTACTTGAATGCCAACATAAATTGATTAGTGAGGGGTTTCCCTGGTGGCGCAGTGGTTGAGAGTCCGCCTGCCGATGCAGGGGACGCGGGTT